ACTTCATCTTACACCAGAGAGAATTGATATGATTCTATTAGTTGGTGAATGTAGTGTGCATTCACCAATCTTGTCCAATTGTGTTCCATTTAAAATAAAGGAGTAGCTTGCTTTTAAAGTGACCTATGTTCCATATTAATTTTGTTTCACCCTGTATAACTTTTCGGATCAAATTTTAATTTGGTTTAACATACAAGGGTTATTGTAATTAAATGTCAGGGCTATACAGGGTAAATTAAAATTTAGGTAGCTGTTAATGAAATTTAAAATTTACTCTTCATTTCCACAAAATGTGAAATATTATGTCGAAATCCTTACTATTTAGGCATATGCTTCTTTAATAAAACTCACCTTTATTTTTTTCTTAGAATCCGAAAATCAATTAATAATATGTAGGGTGTTCCACTACAAAAAATACAACTTTGATGTGTAACTTTTTTTGGGGACACCCTGTATAATTCTATATATTTTTATAAAATGTTTTCAATTAATCTACATATGCTTCCAAAATTTCATTTCGATATAAACTACCGTTCTCCTTGGAGCCTCCGCGTCGTATGAGAGGCGCCACCCTGTACACTGTACAGGATGTTCCTTAATGACATGCTAATATTTAAGGAGGTGATTATTGGGCCTACTTTAAGAAAAAAACTTCATATGAATGTATGTCCTAAACATGTTAACTTTTCAGATACAGGGTGGTAAAATTTTCTTATTTTTTTTTCAAAATATCTCTGATAATATTTGATGCGCCATTCTGTATATACATAGTTACCAAAATAACATAAATGAAGGTAAATAAGTACATAGGTATATTATAGACAACGAGAACTATAACATTTGATTTAATAAATTGATTGACGTTTTCCGAACTAGTATGATTTTTCCGGAAATACCGGACGTCTGGCAACACTATACAGGGTGAGTCTTAAGTAAGTCCATATATTTTTAGGACTGGTAGATCTCGATAAAAGAAACATATATTTTCTCTTTTTCAAATAAGTCCAAAATAACCGAGTTATTCAAGTTGGAAAATTAAAAAAAAATGATTGGTTCTAAAAAAAATTGAGAGCCACCGGATTTTTTTCTGTATTTGCAGGTAACCATGGTAATAAGGTTAATATCAAGAGATTAAGAAATTATACTGTGTAATTGGCGGTGAAAATGCAGTTCTAAAAAGTTATCTAAAATGGACAGGAAATTCAAAAGAATTCAACACAATGTTGAAAATCAATGCACGATTTTCAATTTTCTCTTTTTTTTGCGAAGAAAACCTCATAGACGTGCTCTTGGGGTCGCAACTATACCACCCCTAAAAATATTAGCACTTATTTAAGACTCACCCTGTATATAAGACAAATTGAGATTTTTAAGAGTAGGAGCTTAATGAATAGACGGTCAGGTGATTACGATTGAAACTAAACCTCTCCCTCTTGAACGAAACACTATCCTTGACAATTATTTGGATAGAATAATGAAAAAAAGAGAGATGACGATGTGTTGGATATGAGGAAAGAGCAGATGTTGGGGTGGCTATATAAGCGTGTGTGCGTGCGTATGTGTACGTCTGTGAGCCTGTGTGCGCGTCTACGTGCCGGATTACAGCTGCGGGAGAGAAAAATGGACTTGGCCTGGTAGGAGAGAGGAAAGATAGACAGAGAGAGACCCCGCGATCAATACCCGGTTTTAGGTACCACGGACACTGACGAAATCGTCCAAGTTCACGTTCCTTGCCCTAGAAAAAAATAGATATTATTCCTTCAGCGATCGTTCAACGACGTCACGTGATATACAGGGTGAGTCGTAATAAAAAAATTGTGTGTGTTCTATGTGCGCATATTTGAAGTGAAACTTCTTACTAACAGCTATTAAATTGAAAAATTTGAAGGGTATGTTTGAAAAAGTGTAGTTTGAAATGTTGAGAAAGTAATAAATTTATAAAATTAATAAATAATTTGATTCGCTTTCACAAAATTTGTCTGTTCGTCTGAGGACTACATTCGGGTACCTCTATCCACGTACCGAGTTTGGTTTCAATCGACCCATAATTAAGAAAAATCCTGATGATTTCGTCTAATTCGAGGCATCGCATCGGTTCGAAACGTCGAGGGCGTCGTCCTGTAGCCCGTCCACAATTATGCCGAAATCAACCCATATTTTTCTTCAATATTAAATCCTTATTTCCACCTTGTGGTGTGCACCGTCGCTCACAGCCTACCCACCAAATTTGGTCGCGATCGGACGACATCAACTTATGACGTTTCTTACGTCAAAACTAACTGTCACAGTGACACGTGTCGTACATGGCCAAGTTGGCTTTGGTCCAATCTATCGACATACCAAATTTCATTTAAATTTCTGGTTTTCAGATTTTTTCTAAGCCGTAGGCTGTCCTTACTACTTTTCCTCTTGTGTGTCGTGTGTCGGGTCACGGCCTTGATTTTTTACTCTCAGCGCTCGTAAAGAAGTTTCACTTCAATAATAATAATAAACTTGTATTTATTAGTAATAAATAGATAGACATGAAAACCAGTGAAAAATGTTTAGCTTAAACTACTCTTAAACCTCGCCATAATAATAAAAAAATGCAAATATTTTCAGGGCTGGTATATAGATCTCGATAAAAGAAACATATTTTCTCTTTACCGTTTTTCAAATTCAAATCAAAAAGTCCAAAATAACCGAGTTATTCAAGTTTGAAAAATAAAAAAAATGATTTTTTTTAAAAAACCTCATATTTCGAACTTGGCATTGGTTTGCACTTATTTAAGGCTCACCCTGTATATTGTTGAACTCTCTTTAACCTGACAACCAGATGAAACAAATTGGTGACGTCATTACGGCATTTTGTAAATTACTACACATATACAGGGTGGCGCACCTCATTCGCCTGGGTTGATTATACGAAAATGGAAAGATATAGAAACGTCGTTGACGCCGTTTTTTTTTTCGATCATTCGGTATTATAACAAATATGTTAAAACTCATTTTGTTTTACTTATTTCTCGGGTATTTAAAGACCAAAAATGCTTGCAGTAAACTAAGACACCTTGTATAAACATCGTCTTAACTTTCGTTTTCTGTTTTTTTTTGGTAATCTCAAATTACGCCTCACAGTCATTGTCGTTGCCATTGGCTTCGAAATTACATTTCCAAGCGGGGTACTTTTATAAATAAACTTCTCTACGCGAAACCAAGAACAGGAGCGATTACTTTTAGTACCAGTAGTTCTTAGATTCTAGTGTACGACGCGATCCCTGATCAAATATATCTCTTTGTTCGATAGAACGCTTCTTATTTTTTTGTTTTCTGGGTGTTGAACTGTATCTCTGTGTTTCTGATCTTTTGAAAAGTGTTTTTAGATGTATTTTACTTTTTTATGGGCATCTATTTGATAAGGAATAGCATATCTACATCATATTATATAGGAAATGAAGCGAAAACAGTGAGTATTGTTTGCATTGCTTAACATAACGGTGTTGCCTGTCATTTTAATTCTCATGTAAATTGTTTTTCTGTCATTTTCTTTATGACGCCTGACGAAATCGATCCTAATGGTTGGATAGACCTTATAAGATAGAGTATAAAATAAATGCCTTTATTGTCAAAAAATTTTACAATTTGTAGACAAAGGTAAAGTAAACACACAAAAGAGAATACAAAATAAGTATACAAATTACATTGTCAGTCTTATTGTTTAAAATAAACATTTATAAACGTTTACAGTGACAAATAATAAAAAAATAAAAATAAGATTCAAAAATATTTAGTAATTTTATAGTAAATATAGTAATAGCAAATATTAGACCAGTGTTTACAAGATCAAATTCGATTATCAAAACATTAGTAGGTAAATAAGATTTCAATGCTTTGCGAAATGAAGAAAATGATGTTATGGATTTGATTTCACATGGCAGGTGATTGTGCATTTTTTTCGAGTTGTATAATATTGAACTTTTAATTAACTCTGAGCGTGGGATAGGTAGATAAAGATCTTGCTCCGCGTTCCTGAGTGTATAAGTGGGAGATGGCCTTTCTTGAGAAGCTGATACATGCTTACATATTAAGGCGCACTCTCACGACTCGTCTACTTGGCATCTTGGCAAGTACGCCAATATTTGCGTACTTGGCAAGTATTCCCACCAGTCCCCACTTTGTAAATAACATCGGCAAGTATGGCGCTCACACGACGCGACGCGCGACGCGACGTTTCCATTTCAACAAGTACGCCAGCACAGACATTGTTTAAATCCTTGGCAAGTAAACAGTAGTTTCGGTCGTCCCGAAATTGTCGTTGCTAGTGATTCTTTTTCCTTAAGTTCTTTTACTGTACACTGCGATAAGTAAATAGTATAGTCACATCGATGGATACCGGTCGTCCCGAAATTGTCGCTGCTAGTGATTCTTTTTTCGTTTTAAGTTCTTTTACTGTACACTGCAATACGATTTCTATGTTCTTTATGTTTGAGCATCCATATGAAGGGCTCATTTTCGTATAAATCCATAAATTCCAAAACAACATCATTTGAAGACTACACGGGAAAACTCAGTTTTGTCCTTTTAGGATTTTACAATATTATAGTAAGTTTAATTGGTTCCTAGAAAATGTATAAACTCTGCAGGGCAATAAGTTGTTAAATCCTATTATATATATAATCTATTAGATGTATGCCTAGTAAAAACATAGAATACACGGAAAGAACCCGATAACCACCAGCCGTCCAGTACTCTCCTGTAAAATTAGTAAAATGGCGCTTATCATTTTTTCCCCTGGACCCTTTAATTATGCTGTAACGTTTTTAATTCGTTACATGTTTTTTTTTTCAAGGTGTTTTATGTATGATTGCGAGCGTTCCGTATTTCTGGTCCAACCCTGGTAGTTTAATTTGAGCCACTTTGTGCCTAGTTGGCAACACTGTTTTCGTTTTGCTGCTTCTGTGGTGGCGCTTCTCTGTAACTTCAGTTTTCGCTGTCATCAGCTCTGCATGGGCTTTTCGACTTTTGTTTAATTCTTGCTTGAGAATCTGGATCAGCTGAAATTTTAACGCGACAGGTAAATATGTGGTACTGTCTTTATAGATTCACTATTCTTACTGCGTATTTTTTGGGTAGAATTTTGGATTGGACCAAATGAACCTGAATTACCCATATTTGGTACTTTGCCGGCACGTTGTTTTTTCTTCAACCTCCAACATGTTTAACGGAAAAAAGTTAGAAGAAAAGGCGGATTTATTTATCAAGGAGACCCTCGAAATATTTCGAGGTGAGTTTATAAAAAAAAATTGAGACAAAAGTTTTAATTTTCATGATGTTTCATAGTGTCCTACTCCTAGGAGGACAATAGTACGTAGTTTACGGGATTTAAAGCCTACTGGAAGATGTCCTGTTCCTCCTGACCCCAGTTCTGTGTCTTAGTAAATGAAGAACGCTGGAAAGGTGCAGAGATCTTAACCCCAGCTCACGCTCTCACTGCTTAGGACAATTTTACATGAAGAGAATATCGATTACTAAGTTCTAGCTTTATGTTTTACATTACCAACGATATGTTTTTCTCAATTTCAGTCTTAAAATAATATCAGTACAGATCTTACGTATAGTGATTATTTTATTGTCATTTTAGTATTTAAAAATATGATCTAGATCCTAACAGCACTCATGGGACACAGGTCACAGAATAAATAAAAGAAAAATAAAAGAGGCTTTTTTAATACAATCTAATAAAAATAAATGTATTGCTCATGCATCTGTAGATGTTAGTAATGTATGGCAATCGCTTCTTTGATTTTAAAGAACATAACATACCTACGTATTAAAAATAATCATACAGAAAGTTTGGGCCATTTTGGTTTTACCTTATTAAGTAATTGTTATCAGGTAGTAATTGTTAATTTTGAAGTTTAACTTGCTATAATGTCATTTTAACAGAACGTCAACGATTTTTGTAGACATATCTGTTTTAAAAAAATAAAGTGCATAGACTAATGTCACGTACTAGAGATAGATTGGACACTGATATAAAACAAATGGGTCCGTCATTTAGAGCCACCTGGTGATCCGGAAGAAACTAATGGAGAGTTTTGGCATAACATAATTTTAGCGTTCCGTTACTTAATAACGCTAACTAAAACGGTAACGTTATTCAAGCGCAAAATTATTCCTTGTAAAATATAAAATAATAAATATAGACTTTTTTTAGTACATTATATGTTTTATTAGACCATTAGAAGTGTAACATAATTAAAACAAAATTAAAATTCTGAATACATAATACATTTTAACCACCAACAATAGATCACATAGCACCTATTTTTTTTTTTTGATTTAACAACTAAATTATAATATAGTAAAAAAATATTAGACTACTAATTAACTGTTACTAAAATACGATATATTACCAACTATGTACTTACTTATTTATGATTAAATTATTTTTTTATTTGGTTCATAAATTTATCATTTCTAAAATGTCAAAATGACTTTAATAAAAAAGTTTAGTATCTGACACGAAAATGATGATCGACTGTAAATATCAGAAGGCACAAACTAATAAAAACACAAACTATAAACACAAATCACTGAAATTTCCAATCACAGATCAGGAATATCTAAATTAATAATTATTTAAATAATGATTTAAAAATAACTTGACGGATCACCAACATTTTGTCAACTAGAACTAGACCATAGACGGCAGTTAACATAGAGACTGTCATGTCATCTTCATATATAAATTAGAAACCTGTACTTTAATATCTTTTGCGCCGTCTGGCGATGCGGAAGAAACTAAATTTGTAGTTCTATAAAATTACCATTGAGTGTCTAGGGCATGATAAAGTGTTCTCGAATAGTTGAATTTAAATAGTTTTTTTCTTTATTCTTTGTATTTTTTTTTGCTTTCGACGACGGAAAGAGATTAACTTTCCGAAACGTTAAGCATTTTTTTGTTCGTTAGGCAAATTTGTATATTTTTAAACCCTGCTTCTGACAAGTAGTTTCCGTTGCGGATTAACGCAGAAGTGTTTACATAAAACAACTATTTTATTTTGTAGATTTTCTTGCAGTTGGGAAAAACTCATATAGGATTTTTTATACTGTATGTCTGTATATGTATTACTTAAAAAATATGTACCGCGTGTTCTTTGTTCTTTGATTATTTACAGTGCGCCAAGACATAATTTCTGGAATTTATTTCTCGTGACGACTATACTTTAACATCGTATAAGAATGATCAATTAAATAAAGTAATAATGCCCTCTTTACTTTCAACGTAATTTGTTTCACTTAAATTATCGCCTATTTGAAGCCAATGCATAACATTGTAGGCTGCAGGGGAATCTACCAACATAGATTTTACTATATCTAAGCCGCCCACCATTCGCGCCTTCTCTGGAAAGAGAGAAGAATCTAGGTCAACGGTGTATACGGTGATAAAAGCGAAATCGCACAATAAATAAAGCGAACAGGCTTCGGTGAATACTAATCGGCCGGTATTGTGGCGATTGTGGGAGTGCCTGCAAGTACCGAGAGGTACTCAGCGGAGCGATAAACAAGGTGTATACCCAGCGCAACCCGTACGTAATGAAGCTAATAAATCAAACGCCAAGCTTAAAATAGTCGAAAAGGTGTAATTAATGAACTAAGAGGAATACATTTAGTAACAATGTTTTACGTATTTTATACTTTGTTAGAATAGAATTATTTAACTTTTTGGATTTTTTATATTTTAATCACCTTTCTATTTAAAGTCTTATCCTAAATGGCTAAATCTTCATAAATCTGCCCGATATCGATAATATTAACATTCCTACTTTGCCGATGTCCCTATTTCTGCAAAAAACTGGCCCGCTTAAGGTACGCGCACACTGACCTGAGCCGCACGCGCCGCATCGGCCGAAGAAAAATATTGTTTGCGTTACTTTCAATGAAGGTGCGCACCATAGAATAACTAACTGAAAGAAATGAAAACTCCTATGTTAAAGCTTGGAAACGCGCTCGCCGCGATCCAAGCGGGCTACTGGCAGAACTAAAGGTTCGCGCCATATTTTTAAATGGACCTTTACTGCCAGTTCATAAGTTTTTTACTTATATTTGGTAATTTCAATCTTGATTATTCATTTATTTGTAACAAAACATTTACAAAATAAAAATAATGTATTTCGATACAAATAAATTAATAATCTAGATTGAAATTATCCCTGAAAATAGAATAAAACACGAAAAATTTGTAACTTGATTATTTTATTATAACATTTGTTAATAAAAATACATATAACAAATTCAATACTATACAACTATATATAAAAGTTATCAGAATTTATACGATCAGTTATAAATAATTATAAAAAAAGGTTATAAATTATAAATAAATAAATCATTATATAAAAGGCATATTAGTTAACGTGTATCTAATTTGGTATAACTTTAATCTCAACTTTATTGACCTATTCAAATAGAAACATCTTACAATTTGCGTTGTATAATACAGAAAGTAAAGGGACAAATTTTTGTTAGTAAATCTATTCTCGATGACCCGAAACATTTTTTTACAAACAAAACAGGACATATAAAGCTTATCAATAATACAAGTGTATAGAAAATGTATAAATAAGTAAATAAAAATATATTTTCAAACTAAATGATTAATGATTATACTCGTTTAAATAAATAAATAATCTTTTTAAAATTACTTGTTTGTCTTTGCAAATTTGTATATTTCATATTTATCTAAAACCGTACCCTTCCCTTAAAATTACTGCACAACCTTAAAAATTAAGCTTTTAATATGAAATGTTATACAAGTTCTTGATTCGATCCTCATTTAAATAAAACTTTAAATTGATATTCTAAATTTCAGAGACAGCCATTTTGTTGAAAGAATTTGTTTTGATTATGAGAAATTTCATAAAAATTATCACAGGGATTAATTAATCTTATATATTGAACTACTTGGCTTTTAAATTTCACAATCCTATCGTCTAAAATACTCTAAATTCGCGAAAATCCGTAAAATATTCCCATAAAAACAAATCACAATTCACTTTCACTTTAGAAACTGACAGACTGGCCAAATATGGAATGACGTTTACTTTTCAATTTATTTTATTAATCTAACTGATCCGGGTCACTTAGAAATTAAATTTTTATTAAATTATTTAATTATAATTGTTTCTGGCGAAAGCAACTTCATACCAATATTTGTTGATAAGGTAACAAAGCACATCACTGTTAAATTATCAACATTTTATATAAATATTTCTATTTTTCAACTACTCCAACTACTCCAATTACTCCACAAAGAATCAAACGAATTCGTTAATTAAACTATACTCTGTGGATGAGACTTGATAAAATCATGATGAAATTAAAGTCCCTAGATATATATCTAGGGACTTTAGATGAAATTCCTATGCAGCGCCATCTATCCCTCTACTGGCAGAAACTCCGCCGTGTTTCCAAAATTCAAATGCCAGTTTCATCCGCCTGGAGCGCACACTAGCCAGAGCCGCACGAATCGCATCGACGAAAATGCGGCCAGCATTGTTGGGCCAGAATGATTTTCGGTAAATGCGGCTAGTGCTGCTGACGTCACACGCAATTCCTTCTACTCTACGTAGCGTAGGTAGCCGAAGAGGAGATTAGAAATTCAATACGCTAAAGTTCGCAAATTTTTCATGGCTCATATTGAAATATTGAAAAATTTTTAATTCATCCTCAATTAAATATGGAAATAATGTTGATTTTTGCCAATATTGTGAACCTATAACTTTCGATTCTTTCTCGTGATTTCTTCTTCTTCTATTAGCAAGGAGCTCATAATTATTTCTTGTTCGTTGTCATTTATTGTCGAGAAATATTAAAAAACACGCTTATCACCACAGACAGGACTCCGGAAGCGACTGATGAGAAATTCGATTGGCAAATACGGGTGTAATAGGGGCAAAAAGAAACAAAATAGCGAAAAATGCGGCGCGTGCTGCGCGTTCGGTACGGCAGTGTGCACGCCAAGAAAAAAAGTGCGATTCTTGCGGCGCGTGCGGAGAATGCGTCTCTGGTCAATGTGCGCGTACCTTTAGATGGAAAGGGATTTTTTTTGGAAGTCGAGAATAAAATTAGTACTATCTAATGTTCAAAGTACAAAGTACTTACTGCAAAACAAAATGTCGGTAGAAATTTGGGGAATGAACTAGAAGATAAATTAGGGAAGGCAGAAGTTAGCTTGATTAGCATTCAGCTGTTTTAAAAAAAGATATAAAATAGCCTGAACACCAGCATATTTTTGACATTGATTATAGTCCTCGGGAATAAAAATATAACTTTACATCAGAAGAAACTAATTCTGCACTTGAGTTTGCGAATGAAATGTACTCGAATACCGGATTTCTGACACTTCTCAATTTCAAAATAAATCTCTACCATTTAAATAGAAGAATGGATTCACACGAAA